ATGGAAAGAAAGAATCAAAACAGAAAACATTACTCAGGGAAACAAAAAAAAATGAAACTTATATTCCAAAAATTGCCAATGAATGACTAAGAGACCACCGTATAATTAAATCTGCAGGAATAATCAGATTTGAGAAACTAAACGCAGATTATTTTCATTCAGTGAGTTCATGTTCTATGAAAATAAATGAGATTAGCAATGTCTCAAAGTTTGTGATAACTTAGGTAATTTTAAAAGTAGTGTTAAAGAAATAATCTGTGAATTATTCCAACAAAATCCCAAAACTTGAATACTATCTCTATTTAATTATAATTTCACTGTGATTAAACTTCATATGAAGTTACAAAAGTGAAAGCTTCCTTTGAATGCACTGAATTCGGAAAAACATGCCTATTGTTGGTTACACAAAGAAGAGATTACAAATCTAAATTACAGACAGAAAAGCATCCATGCTGTGTTAAGAAACAGCACTGTCAAATCCGGCATTGAAGTCAGGATCTTGTCGGTAAGAAAACCACTACTGGGCTTTCTCTCTGCAACACTACCACCTTTTTAGACTTTTTTCTGGAGGTTCACATTCATTTTCTTAATGTTTTTAACCCAATGTCTGTGAAACATTTATTGCTCCCCAGATGAAGACATCCGATCTGAATGTAACCACACACCTCTTTGCTCAGCAGTATTTGTCACAAACCATTATAAATTATCATGCTGATAGTTTGCATCGCTGGGAAACTGGAAAAGTTTCATAAATTCTAACTACCGTATCAATGACATCCTTGTTTATTATACAGATATAAAGTTTTATGAGATTCAAGATGTCTGCCCTACCACTGAAGAAAGCTTCAGTGGACTGAGATCTAACTAGCTCAACGTAAAGCCTGAACTCACCATTTACCATAAACAATGGACATTTCTTTCGGAGAACCCTCAGCCGGTCACTTTTTTCCTTTCTTTTCTACTTGTCACTGTGCTTTGACCCTTTACAAGTATGCAGGATTTTGCTAGTGCCAAAAAGAGAAATCATCATGCCTTCCCTTCCTTCAACACCTTCTCTCAGAACATTCTCTGGAGTCCTCTCTTACATCAACATAACAATAAAATCATGCACACATCTAGCTAGAAATCCTAGTCCAAGTATAGCCCTATAGACAGATGCTCTACTGCTCTACTGATTGATTGATTTACACCACACCTTGTTCAATAAAAGAATTAAGGGGTTTTAGTATTATGGTTTCAATGCTTGTTTGTAATGAAACCTGATTCAGGTGTAACATAAACACAGACTGTTGCATTTTAAAACTATAGGGCACAACTTACACATTTATTTTCCCTAAGGAAGTATCCCCTGCTTGACAGCCACTGTAAAAACTTAACATCCATTTTGTAAAGTATGGTCCATAGTTTACTTATAAACTGGGTCAGTCTTGGTGTTATTCACATGAAAATCTGTGATTGTATACTGCATTGTTAAGATCATGAAATGATGTTTTTTTACCTAATTATAAATAAAACAGTAAAAATCTAAATACAAATATTTTTCCTACCAGCACTATTTGGCTGCTCTGTTGAACTGCTTATCCATCCCTTCATCCTACAAAAGAAAATTATTTACTTGGGTTTCAGGGATGTTTCTCAATAAGCAAATGTGCTAAGGCATCGATTTCTTGAGCTTTCTTATGGCGAAAGTTGACTGTACAAATACTGACAATTTCAAGAGAAAATGAAGGGTGTATTATGTGCGAATCATCCCATTACTGGATCAATATAGTTTGACATATGTTTAGTTTCATATTTCCAAATGTTCTAACAATCGCCCAGTTGTTAAAGATATCAAAAGAGAGATAACTTACGTGGAGGAACACTTTTAACTTTTCAAAGGACTTTTAATATCTACTCTTTCATTTTGTCTTACCAGCAACCCTATGACATCACTACAGCCAGTAGTTTTTACTGCCAATGGACATATACTATAGATAAAACAGGGAAAAATGTTAAATATCTCAAATACTATGTACAGTTTGTTCTTAATAGGAACTAAGTGCTTTCCACCTCTCTGAATGTGGGTCACCATGCCTAGTTTTGTGTCACCTCAAATCCACTTTTGTAAATAGCCTAATATAAATTACCAAAAACAAAAAACAACAAAAAAACCCACAAAACTAAGTTTTTAGGCATCTAATACAAACTTTGAAGTCTATGAATTTGTTCTTCTAAGAGTTTCTGGTGTAGTCCATTTTTTCTAGGGAATTCTGATCACCCCTCAATTTTAAAGCTGTGGATTCTTCTCACAGCCTTTACAAAAACAGGTAATTATTGTGCTATGTTTGTAGACTCTCAACTGCAACCTTAAACAATGACCAGGAGTCAGGTGAATCTGCCTGGAAAAATAGCAAAGGCAACGCCTTCAGTGGGTCTTCCATACCTTTTAGGAATTTTTCATTGATAAAAAGATCAGATAGCAACACTTCAAAACATGGCACAAAGACATTTTCCATGGGTCTAATCTCCATTGACTTCATCAGACTAAATATATCAGCCTTTCAACACTGGCCAGGAGATGGCACCTTCACAGACAGCAAAGCCTCAGTTGGGACAATTAAGAAATCATCTTACTCTGTGGCATTTAACAAACAAACAAACAAACACTTCACCATCATTAAGACTGATATAGAAACAATCTTCTTGGCCATGCCAATTTCTTGAATGCCTTGCTAATATCACTAAAATTGTCACTTTCTATAAATTACAATCATCCTTTATTCTACCTTTAGAGAAGGAAAACAACTAAAAAGGTGCTCCTCTAACCTCACCATACCCCAACCTCACATTACTAATTTATAATTATTTAAAGTTTACTGTGCACCAGTGTTGTAGGCACTTCACATCTATTAACTGGTTCGACTGGCTTCCCCTCTTAAACTTCTGCTCCGGTTGTATACTGCAGCTGGCTGGCACCAGTCATAAGAACCAATTGTGCACATCTCTTTGCAAATTTGTGCACAGTGACATCACATGAGCAGTTTGAAGTTGGCCATGGTGGCAGTATTTACACCACGGAAATTGGCAAATGCTACAAATCAGGACTTGACCCACTTGCTCCCAAGAGCCAGTTGTTAAACATTTACCAGCACACCACTGCTAATAACTAGTGATTATTCTGAATTCTTTAACTATTGTATTATACATATACATGGTCACAATTTCCAGATTAGGTATTAGTAAACATGAGTTTATTCAATTCTAATAGCACTTTATTTTTTGGAATAATGTTACTACTTGAGTATGTTTTACCAGAGTTTATTAAAAATATCTCATATAGCAATTTTAGCATTGTCAAAAGGCAAAATAATGATAATAATAATAAAATAAATTAAATAAAATAGAGAACAAGTCTCCAGATTGTCTAGGTGATTGACACTGTCAAAGCCACCATAAAGAATATTAGCAAAAACATAAAACAAAAAAATAAAACCACAATGAACTCCCTGTTTCCTAGCAGTCGCTGGAACACTATTAATGGCAACCTTCATACAAAATTAAAAAGTCAATATAATGCCCTAAAGCACTTCTGAATCACAGAATAAAGATTAAATTGGAATCGGCATGATTTTGTTGCATTGTAATGTATGCTGATTATTTGGAAACTGATCATCAGTCTATGGATTTATGCTAATTCTCTAGGCACCAAAATGTTGAATTAACCAGATGACCTCATTTCAGTGACAATGAAAAGCTACTTTACTGCATCAACTCAACAGGTTGTTCAGCGCTTCCTACAGGTGGAAACATTTTTATATTATTCTGTTCTTCCCTAAAAGGAATAAGTGTGTGCAAATAGAAGATCTTTAATAATGAATATACTTGCAAAATAATGTTTAGGTCCAATGCAAGTAGTAGCCTATAGGTAATTGTATACAATTATATCAAACTAACCCATTTTAAAACTTGGGAAAACGTATCAGTCCACAAGAAACCCTCAAAAATAGATTATTTTCCTTTAATAAAGCCATTCATATATATATAAACTTAATAAAAGATCAATATTCAGTTCACTCTGGAGACAATACCACTTGCAGTGCGGCAGAATGGCATGATGTAGGCACGACAGAGACAGATAGTGTGTTGGGTGTCAGGAGAGGACAGAGCACATGTGGATCTGAGTACTCTGCTACAGGCAATGTGAGAGCATACTTTCCACACTGTGGAAAGCAGTATCTAGACACCAGTTCTTTCAAATAAAAGGAGGAAATATAATTTAGACCATCTCTATAGTGAGAATGGCTTCATAATAATGAAATCTGGCATAAATTGATGCTGAGTAACTTAACAATGGGAGGAGACAGCAAGGATAGATGAAACACTGATTTATATTTGAGTTTCCACTGTATTCATGGTGTCTTAACAATTCTTTTCCATCATCTTTCATAAAAAGTCTTTTAATCAGTAATCTACCATAAAAAAACCCTCTCATATGACTTACCCTATATGCCTTATTTTTAGTCAGTAACAATTGCTTTTTCCATGTCAAAGCCAATACGATGAACACAGTTCTTAAATCATAAAATGTGCCACAGATTTGTTTCAACATATCCAATCTCACTATCTGGGCATGAAATGTATGCTAGTGACCCACAATATTTAATAAAAATGCAAGTGAGAGTTTGGGGTTTCTGGGTTCTTCCCCTTTCCAAGAAAGAAGAAGAAGAAGGAAAAAAAAGAAGCATATATACTATATACATTTCTTAACAAAAGAAGAGTTCCAAAACCAAAGGCTTTAACAGGAAAGAGTATGAGAGGTTATACATTTAAGTATAATCTTGCTGGTTTGGGGAACTCAAAAATCACTTAACGTAATTTAATTTCCATACCATTGACATACGATCTGGTAGAGATTGGAACCCCTCCTGGATCCATTTATAATCTACATTGTACACACGCTTTACGGCATGACCACTAGATGGTGCTGTGGCGCCCTGTTCAGACACAGTCCCACTTACTTGCAGTCTCTGTCCTCCAAATCAAAGTGGGGGTTGAAGTTGATCATAATTCTCTGGTATGGGTCCGGAGCCTCAATCAGCCATTCACATTTTTCACTTGGGTGATAAGAATGAGGATAACCAGGAGACGTAAGATAGCCGGGGCTTTCAATTTTTATAGTATCGCCACATTTATCTGCAATAAAAAATAAAAATAAGATTTTAGTAGATCTTTCCCTGACAACCTGTTAGGTATTCTAGCTCTCCATATAAATGACTGGTGATTAAACATTCCATAACTTTTTAAGGGGAACTCCAAGAGGTCCCTACAAGTCCTTCATGTGGCACTGAGAGCAAAACTCCCCTAAGGAACACTCTTTGATCTCAGGAAGGCTGGCTCAGGTAGAAGGCAGGCTGATATCTGAGATAACTCTCTGCCAGCCCCCAAAATTCCTTCCCAAGAAAAAGGTCTTCTAGCATTAAAAACATTAAATCCCCTCAATTGATGTTAACATGGTCTCCCGGGAGCTTCTGCTAGACTTAATTATCCCCCAAGAAGTGTAATCACATTAAGTAGCAAGTTCTAAGCAGAAAGTGACAGAAAGAAGCTGTTCGACCCCTTGTGTTGCTTTTTGATGGTAAGCCTGGTCTATGTCGTTGATCAGTGGGGATTGCCTTTGATTGGCTTAAAGCCAACCCTTTTTTTGGTCTTTGTTTTATCTGCCCATAAATCTAAGTGATTTTGAGTTATCTCTGCTCTTGAGATCCAAATCAACAGAGAACAAAGTATATTTGGTAAAGCAGAAATAATTCTGCTTTACTTCTCCAAGTAAAGTTGTTCAGGCTTGGAGATCAGATCAAAGTAACGGTGCAGAAAGAAAAGTAAATAGCCACACGACATTAATTCTAATTACCTAAAATGTTGGGTGAAAAATAGCCCACCACACAGATCTGGGTAGCACATATGGTGAGCCACATTCTCACGTTCTGGGGAAGGTAAGCTAACTAACTAGTTTTTGAGCCCCCACTTCAAAAAAATGCTGAAGTGATTCACTGAGAGCCAAATAAACCAGTCTCTAGGCTGCTTTATTGTTCAGTGTAGATTCTCATTGTCACTTTTTATGATGGATTTTGTACTGGAGAGCTTCAGCCTGAAATGCTGCCACATTTATTGACGCTTAATTTTGAGCAATAAAAATTTGGTGCATAAACTATGTAAGAGGAACAGGTATGAAAGCAATGAAATACGTAAGCCTATCAATCACAGATTTTCAGTAATGGTATATATAGATTTTAATATTGCATCTAATAGATTCCCTGTGGAAAGAGAATGGCATTCTTTGCTCTCAGCATGAATTTATAAATCTACAGAATTTTATTACAGGAAAACCAGGTCAAATGGAAATGAAAGATGAAGTGCAAATCAAAAATGCATAAAGCTACATGCATTACAGAAATCATTTCCCATAAATTAAAAAGAAGACAATATAAATTATATTGTTTTTCTCAATTGTTAGATGTTTTCTGACTTTCTTAGGCTAGGGGTAGTCTTATACTGGTTTCCATTGCATTGGCTTGTAGAAGCTAAAGGTTTGCCAAGAAGAAATGATGTTGCAAACGGAGTTCAAAATCTCAGCTAATGATCATATTGGACTCTGCTATGTGATTCTACTGAGACTCTTGCATGATTTTAAACGCACAGAAAACTTGGAAAGTGACCTAGTCTCATTAAGTCTCCTCCAGCTCTGGACAAACATCATGGCAGTGTCTGGCATCTGTTAGAGGAGTGAAATAAAACAGCCCTGGTTCTAGTCACTCGACAGAGTCACTTCAGAAGACATTTAGGTGGGCTTGGTACCACACCAGAGCTCTTTAATCTGTGACTTCTGAGAAAGTGACAGTGTAATAAGATAATGTGAACCGCTAGACTCCCTGGCTCTGTTAAATCTCTCTAACAGTTGATTAGGAAAGAGCAATTTCTAATGACTCTGGACCATTAGTCCTAAATAAGGTTAATGAATTAATTTAGCAGACACTGGTACTTGGAGGAGGTGGACATGACTTTAAGAGGTCTGCTGAGTTACGGAGGCATTTACCAGCTCTGGTCACTTCGAGCATAGCAACATGGCTTTAGCTAGTTAAGCTCATCAACTGAAGCTCAGATTCTCAGCATTCCCCAGATTTCTGCTAAGGAGATTAAGAGATAGGTTTGTGCCTGTGTATATGCATATACATGTATATAACATATATGTACATATCTGTGGAGTTCACAACCTGAAGTCTGAAAGCATGTGCAAAGGTTTCAGACCCACCCTGTGAACACCCCTACTGTGGATTTAATCTCAGGAGTTGTGGGAGACAGAGGGTTACTGCAATTTCTGAAGTCCAACCATTTGAGCTCTCTCAGTTGGAGGAGAATGTTATTTCATTCCCTGCCAGAGTATAGAAAGATGCCACCAACTCAGGTTCATTAATAAATTGAACTCCACATTCACAGTTTTGTGTGTGTTTGGCTTCCCCGCCGGATAATAGAAAAAATGCCATCGACCTAAGTTCATTAATAAGTTGAACTCCACATTCATAATTATTTTTTTGCCTGTGTTTTGCTTCTAAGTCTATCTTTTAGAACACTGCTTGGTAGCTGTTGGGGGAAATCTATTGCTTAAATCACAAAACCTCGAAGCATATTAGAGAGATTAACTTCCATCATAAAGATGTGATTTAAATTCCTCTTGGTATGAACCCCTGTACTTGTGGGTTCTTATTAAAACAATATACCACAGTAAGTAGTGGATGTTCTTTTCTTCTAATTACTTTGATTGAGATCTAAGCCAGATAAAAGTAAATATTTGATCATTAGTTAATAACAACCGATGATGACTTACTGTAAAGATAATTGCATATCCTTGCCACGATCTGCTTTACAGTGTTAAGTCAAACATGCCTACAACCAGATCACGTTTTAAAACACATTATTTAGGTTACATGGTACTGTTTATGTCCCAGTACGGTTTATCATTTACTTAACAGTGAGTGGTTTTAAAAGCTAAGTGGAAGCTGCAACTAGGTTAGGGATTTTCAGATATCCTGGTGCCTTGCACTGTATATATCAGGTTCCTGTACTGACACTGTGCAACTTTCATTCATACTCCAGATGGATTAGGGACGATTTACAAAGGCGGGGGAGGGAGTTCCATCAAGCCGCAAACCGCTCTCTCTCTTGCAGTCACCCACCGGGGGAAACAGTTTAGGGGAGCTGCAGGGAGAAACCAGGAAGTAAGTTCTCCTAGTAAAACGTTCACTAACTTTCAACAGCCATCAGATTTTTTGAAAGGGAGTCTCATCTAATTGCCTTTGGGAGGAAACATTATTAAGATAATTGGTGCGCTGAGCTGGGAAGGTAGGCAGCTCTGCCTCGTAACCGAGGTAGGAGAACCCCCGCAAGCCGACCAACTTCAGGAGGGAGCCCAAAGATCTAAAATCCTCCTGCCCTAAACCAACCGATCTTATTTCCTTATTACTCCTTCTCCCAGATAAAGGTTTCCCTCGCCCGGGAGGTGGTTCTTCCCGGCTCGCCCCGGCAGCCCCGCGTGAGCCCCGTGGCCGGGGCGGGAAGCCCGGACGCCGCGCTGTCACCCGCGCCTCCGCCTGTCACTTACCGTTGCGGAAAGCGCCGGCCAGGGCGAGGGCGAGGGCGAGCGCGGCGCAGAGCAGCGGCAGCCCGCTCTCCATTCTCCCTTCGCCGGGTCCCCAGGCAACGCGGCAGAACGAGAACGTGCCGGGGTAGACACAGCAAGCAAAGAGGGCAGTCGAAACAATCCGAAGCGCTGCAACTCCGCCCGGAGCCGTGAAATCCTCAGCCCGTCTCGGAGAAAGGGAAGCAGCGAAGCAATGCCTTGATCCGAGAGAAACGCTTCTCTTTTTGTGTCTCAAGTCGCCTGCATCCTGTCATTTAGCTCCGGTTTCCTCTCCCTTTTCCCACACTTGTTCCTCTTCCAGGAGCCACTGCCCCGGCCAAGTCTCAAAAAAAAAAAGGGGGGGAGGGAGGGGGCGGAGGGAGGTAGGGCAAAGCGCACCAAAGCCAATTTCCAGGAAGAAGAAAAAAAAAAAAAAACCCGGCTTGTTTCTGGACCCGTTGGAGCCGAGGAGCTGGCGCCCAGGGGAGGTCCGCGTCTGCGGGAAGGAGTGGAGCAAGCAATGAAAAGATGAGCGGGAGGCAGAGGAGTTTCACCAACTGCACCCCCGCCTCCCCACCTCCTCCGGCCGCCCCCACCCTCCGGAGCCTTCCCTGCTTCCTCCCTCCCCGCAGCGCACAGGCTCGCCTGTAATTGCCTGACAGGAGACTGGGAGGAACAAGTTTCCCTCGCAGTGCTTTCCCCGTCCGTCTGTCTGTCTCTCTCGGAGGCCCTGCGGGGATCTCCACGGGAGGAAAGGGGGTGTGCGCCCAGGGCGCGTGGGTGTGCGTGTTGGAAGGCAGGGCGCTGCGGGCGGTGCCAACCGGACCGAGGGGTCCGGCTAGCCTACCTCGCGTGCTGGCTCTGGACCCGCAGGGGGACAGCTGGGCAGTTCCCCGAGGCGAGGATCCCACCGCTGCCGAGTGCGGAGCGCCCGGGAGGTGGCGGCTGCTTCTCGCCACTCCAAATCCCGCGGCGGCGAGGAGCGCGGGGTCACCCTCGGCCACTCCCCACCGTGCCCGCCCGATACCTGGGGCGGGGAGAAACCGGGCGCCCCAGGACGCCCCGGGCAGGGGCTGGGGGGCCAGGAGGAGAAAGCCGGGCTGGAGGGGGAGACGTACGGCGGAGCCGGGCGAGCGGCGGCAGTGTCGCTGCCGCCGCGTAAAGCAGAGTCAGACCTCCCGGGCGGGCGAGGCTGCGCTGCCGCCCCACACGGCCTCCCTGGCCCGCGCCGGGACGCGTGGCTGGGTGCCAGTCGCGCCCGGGTGCCCTCCGCGCGCCGCGGGCGCCATTGTTTCCTGAGACTCGGCGCCCTCTCCTCAGGGGCACAGGGAAGCCGGAGGGCGGGCGGTGCTGCGCCTCACAAGCTAGGGGGCGGCCGCCGCCCGACCCCGCCCAGCCCTGCCTCAGGGCCCCGGTGCTGAGGAGGGACTGGAAATTAGGGGTCGGACGGCCCCCGTTTCTGGGCATCCCGAGGAGGACGAAGAGTGGCGGGGGAGGGGGCGCTCTGTGCAGGGCCCCCGCCGTGCCCGCTCCCGACCACCGGCCGTCGCGCGCCGCCCTCGAGCTCCTGCCCCTCCCCCCCCCGCCGCGCGCCCTCAGCCCCCGGTGCCGGCCCTGAGGGCTTTTCCAGAGCTGCCGCGGGAGGCGCGTGCGGGTATGAAGAGCGAGGACATTTCAGGGAACAAACAGGTTGCGGCCACCGATCAGGTTCGAGGGCTAAAAGCCCAGGGACCACCTCCCAAGGAGTTTGGGGGGAAGGTGAAAAGGTCACACGCCTCCTGGGAGCCGGCGTTTGTGCACACAGAGCCTGACTCCTACCTGGCGCGCAGGGCTGGCAAAGGAGAGTTAGGAATGTTGGCAAGGAGGCTCCGGTCAAAGGTTTTGGCGGAGGAACTGAGGGCGGGCGGGCAGAAGGGCAGCCTGAGGCGCGCGGGCCCCAGGCGAGGCTCTGCGCTCCCGGGTCGGGGCTGGGTGCGGTGACGCGCCCCCTCGGGGTGTCGAGGTGCACACGCGGCGCCTGCACTCGCCACTCTGTCACCGAGGTCAAGCCTTCCTTCTCTCCTGCCGCACCTCTGGGGACCCTGCCGCCAAGCCGGAAAGCCGGCCCCCTGGGCGCCGCGAGCTGCCGCGCCGCCGAGCGCCTCCCTCTTCTCGGCTCTCCGACCCCCGGGAGGCGCGGGGTGGGAAGGGGACACTAAAAGCCGGGAGTCCAATGCCCGGGCACAGCGGAAGGGGCGGTGGCGGGGCCCCGGGCCGGAGGGCAGGCGGGCGGCGAGGCGGGGGCGCCGGCCGCACCCAGCGCAGACCCTGAGGAGCGCGCGTGGCGGAGGAGAGCCCGGGCGCCTGGCTACGACCCGCGCGTCGCCTCCCCGCCTTCCTCCCCTCCCCGCGCGCAGCCCCGCCAGCCCCAGCCCCAGCTGCGCGGGGCGAGCGGCATCGTCAGATTTAGGGCGACCCCGAGCGGCCTCGGTCCAAGGCGCGGAGGGCGAGGCGCCTCTCCGGCCCTGGCAGGTTGACAGCGGAGGGGACCGGGCGGGCGCGGCGGCCCCGGCGGCAGGTTCCCGCCTGCCTCCTCGTGGGAAGCGGCCGCCGCGCTCGCTCCGGGGCGCCCGTTCTGACCGGTGTGAGCCTTGGCGGGGTGAGCGAGGGGGCACGCGCGGGAGGCTCTCGCTGTGTTGTTTTTAGAAAACTGCCGCCAATCTCTCTTCCCCCTTCCCTGCTGAGTGTGCATTTCCCAGCCTAGACCCGCCAGGCCAACAGATAAAGCCACCGGCTCGTGCACTCAGCGAGGGACCGCCCCCTGCCCTACCCGTCCCCCCCCGGCTCCCTCCTGCCCCTCCGCGGGGCAGGGCTCCTCAGGCGGCTCAATGCTCAGAAAACGCAGGGCTCCTCTCCTGCTCGTCAGCCGAGCACTTCTGCCAGCTTTCTCCAGCCAACTGATAAGCCATGCACTAGGTACTCGGAGGGAAATGTCATGTTTAAGTTCTGCCTCTGATTTTCCTGGTCTTAGCTGATCTGAGGCTTGTCCGGGTTCCTCGTCTGCACACACAGGGCTGGGTAATGGAGCTCTACCGCACTGAGGGATAATTGCTGGCTCGTGGGTTGGTGCAGAGCAAATTGTCCTTGCTAACAACCTCTTTCCTTTGCTGTTGGATTCCACTAAGTGGTGAAAAGGGCCAGTTTTAGGTTTCTGCAATTCCCCACCAAGGCAGACAGACAGACTTTCTGTGAGAGTAGGTGATGGGCTGAGGGAGAACTCAGCAGTGTTCCTGGGTTCATTTTATTTTGGTTTCACGAACATCCCTCTTCCTGATACCACAAATCCCCACACTGGACAGGACCCAGTTCCCGGGGAGGGAAGATGCCTCTAGAATGCCCGGCAGGGGCCGGCAGTGGGCAATACCCTGCCTCTTGCACTCCCACTAGGGCTACTGCACTCAGCTTGGACTCCCCGAGCCCGGCTGGAACCCTGGCCCATGGTTAAGAATAGACTGGATGGCAAATGTTCGTTCCTTTCATCAAGCTGTCATCAATTTGTCAGAAATAAGATGAAATCGATTGCTCCCAGAAGGCCATTTGAGCCACCAACTTCCTCAAAGTACTTCAGACTGAAGCAATGTATGGAGATTCAGGTTGGTAGTTCAAAACCGTATCTAGTCAAGTTTTTTTTACAACATCAAACCCATATATTTCAGAAAAGCAATAAAACACCTTATTTTTAGTAGGTGCTAACCTACATTTGAAATGTAAGAATAGATGAAGGGAAACTTGGAGAAAAGATTAAAAGTTGGAATTTAAATTAACTAGTATTTAAAATAATGCTATTAAAAATGGCACTTCCGTCAAAGGACTCTGTCATGCAAGAGATGTCTTTGGGACCTCATTTGTGGCTACCTCCTTAATTTATACTGTTGGAGAAGGAAGAAAATAAACAAAGGAATCTTTATTTTCTAGTCCTTCATTTTCAGCCTTTTAAAAGTTACCTTGAAAATTCTTTAAATATTGGAGAAAAGAGAGTGCCATCTAACATTTTAAAACAAAGTTACAATGTGAAGTTTTTGTAATACATTGTATTCAATAAAAAAGATGAAGAAAGACGGTACTAAATTTTGAATCACATTGGTGGATTCAAAACGTTTGTTGGTGGTAGAGGTGAAGGCTAGAATTTGGAAACTATATTATTTGTCTGAAAGAACAACCCTAAATTATTCTGACTTCGTTGGATTACTTTTAAATTAGGAAAATTAAAATAATAATGAACATCATCGCTCACAATACCAATAAAAACATCATTAGAGGGAACATATTCAAAATTTTGAAAGTGCTATTTTAAATAGGGCATTCTTTAAAATATAATTTGAGGGATCAAAGTAGGGAAGTGGCTGCCTCTTAAAAGTTAACCATAGTTTTATGTAAATAGAGAACTAAAATTGTAAGGGATTTTGAAAGAAATCAGTAAAAAATGATTTTTAAAATATCAAAGGAAGGACCGGGCGTGGTGGCTCATGCCTGTAATCCTAGCTCTCTGGGAGGCTGAGGCGGGCGGATTGTTTGAGCTCAGGAGTTCGAAACCAGCCTGAGCAAGAGTGAGACCCCGTCTCTACGAAAAATAGAAAGAAATTAATTGGACAACTAAAAATATATAGAAAAAACTAGCCGGACATGGTGGCGCATGCCTGTAGTCCCAGCTACTCGGGAGGCTGAGACAGGAGGATGGGTTGAGCCCAGGAGTTTGAGGTTGCTGTGAGCTAGGCTGACGCCACGGCACTCTAGCCTGGGCAACATAGTGAGACTCTGTCTCAAAAAAAAAAAAAAAATCAAAGGAAGACCACAAAAAGTGAAGAATTGTTGAATTTATCCTAAAATAATTTAATTTTATTTCATACTTTTTATTAGGTGACTGTTGGCTGTTGCATGTAGAATGGGTTCTAAGTGGAGCAAGGGAGGAAATGAAGAGAACAGTTATGATCAAAGTGGAAGGAAAGGATGAAATTGCTGAGGACATTGGAAAAGGAGGCTAAGGACAGACTGTTGAGGGACCTTCAAAGCCTTGATCGTCAGGATGAGCCGACAAAAGACCTTGAGAATGAGCAACTGGAGAGGTAGGTGGAAAACCAGGGGAGTAGATTGTCCCCAAGGCCAAGTAGAAGGGGGATTTGTAAAAGGAATTATTGGACCAGAGTTGAACATCGTTGAGGGTTCCTGTTGGTTGAGGATTGGAATGCAGTTGGACTTAGTGGGTTGATGGTCCCTGAGAGTTGACTTTATCGAGAGTCATTCAGTGGAGTGAGGGAGGAACAGGATTAGAGACATATTGCAATGGACCCAGGAGTCAATGGGACCAGAGGGGAGTAAAGATAATTCTCTCTGAAAGTTTCTACTGAAGGGGAGGAGACAGACAGACAATAGCTCTGGAGGGAAGAGGTGTGAAGAGAGGTTGATTGTTTTTATTTTCATTTTTGTTTGTTTTTAAGATCAGGTACTCATGAACATTCTTAAAGGCCTGATGGGTAGAATCTGGTATTGGGGGAGATGTTGAGATTAAAGCACAGAAAAGATAA